GGCAGAAGACGGGGATAAATGTATGTTACCCCCACAGAAGGAGTGGCCGCCGGCGGTAAGGCTCCAATACGGGGGAAGGTGCGTATACTTGAGGACCGACCGGCCATTGTGCACGAAATAAAGCTGGCCAGATCACTGGTGGCAAACCCTAAGGCAGGGGATACACGAAGAGCCCGCGAAGGGGTGACCCCCACGATCATCTCTGAAGACTCAGCCTCTCTGGCGAACCTGATCAGAGAGATCATCCGCAATGAGTTGGGTAAAGGAGAACTCTCCCATACAAGAACGTATCAGGATGACGGAACTAATCGGGAGAATAGTTCTACCGTAACTAAGTCCAAGACGATAAAGAACAAAGTAGCATAGGGACCCACGGGATCCATGGGAAAAGGGGAAGGGTTGACTGTCGAGACCACCCCTCCTCCCTGCTCCGCAGCCTGAGCAGAAAGGTCTCGCTACATGTGAGACCTTAACTCCTTCTCCACTGCGGGAGACCTGATCCCAGGTAATAGGGCGAAAAGAGAAGAGGAAGCTGAACGCCAAGACCCCTCGCACGGGTCCACCGGCGGGCCAGGCGTCCAAATCAACCACGGATCTGAAACGGCCGTCCGTCCAGAAATTGCAGAGACCACCTCGCACTGCAGCAGTGCAAAAACACTAGCACTGGTAAAGCGGGCTACGCGGAAGTGATGCGTTTAGCAAGAGATAGAATTGACGTTGATGAACTAGGGATTGGAGAAGTACGATCCAAAAGGGCCAGGACGGGAGCATTCCTCTTAGAAATACCTGGACCTGAAAACGCGGAAAAAGTGGATGCTTTAGCAAACAAACTAAGGACGGCGTTAGCTGATCAAGAGGGAGTCATTATATCAAGACCCCTCAAGACAGCGGAAATTCGCATCAGAGATTTAGAGGATTCTATATCAGAGGAGGAGATCGCTACCACTCTGGCCAAAGCAGGCGGCTGCGACTCCGGAGACTCAGGGTGGGCGCAATAAACAGGGCCCAAAATGGCTCCCTCCTGGACCAGATGTCCGCTGGCTGCAGTCAACAAACTGGCTAGAATCGGCCGAGTTAGAATAAGCTGGACGACAGTCAGGTTGGAGATCCTTCCAAACAGGACTCTTCAATATTATCGATGCATGAAGCGAGGCCATGTCCGCGCGGAGTGCTCCAGTGTGATGGATCGCAGCAGTAAGTGCTACAGATGCGGCGGGGAGGGACATGTGACGCGCGAGTGTAGCTCGCCGGCCCACTGTCCTGTCTGCGCAGAAGCGGGCGTCCGCGCCAATCATAGAGTAGGGGGCAAAGCCTGCAATCCGCCCGACAAAAGAAAGAGAGACAAGGGTAGGATGGCTCCAATATCAAAACGGAGGGCACTCGCCGGCCAATACGGAAATAACCATGGAAATCACGTGCGAGCCTCCGCTACCACAAAGGGAGAGGAGACCACCTCACACCCGGGCCGCTAAGGCAATCGCGGATGAGGTTCAATTGATGGAGGTGAACGGGGACTCCCTCGCGGCAGAGAAGGAGTCACACGAACTGCGACTAACACGAAATGAGCTCAGGGCCAGGGCTCACAGTAGGACTCCCGGAGGAGGCCAACTCCTAGGCCAACTGCAATGCCTAACAAGGTCTTACAGTGTAATTTAAATCACGCCCGCCAAGCGCAAGATCTGTTGTTGCAGGTCATGGCGAAGCGTGATGCGAGCATTGCGATAGTGACTGAACCTTATAGGGTTCCGCCAGATCACCCTCATTGGGCATCGGACAGACTCGGCCTGATGGCTATCACGTGGCGCCAAACGGAGTCCCCACTCCCATGCTCACCCCTTGAGATTGGAGAGGGATTCCTTGTTGTGAAATGGGGTGAAATGGTAGTAATCGGGACGTACATTTCACCCTCCTTCGACATCGCTCAGTTCGAGGATAGATTGGCGGACATTGAATGCTGCTACAACCGGTTTTACACAAAACCGACTGTAATAGCGGGAGATTTCAATGCGAAATCAAATCATTGGGGTCACGCAGCACAGACCTCATGGGCAGACACCTTGAGGACTGGGCGGCCGCGCTGGGCCTGTGCTGTATTAATATTGGTGGAGACAGCACCTGCGTATGACCGCAGGGTGAATCGATTGTCGATGTGACCTTCGCCAATCCATCAGCGGCGACCAGGATTCAAAACTGGAGGGTCCTCCCGCAGGAAACTTTTTCGGACCACCTCTACATAGAGTTCGAACTGGGCTGGACGCACGTACAGGTGGAAAAAAGAGCTGCCCCGCCACAGAGATGAAGGCTCAAGCAAATGAACAAGGACCTTATGAGGGCTGCCATCTACACGGGAACGTGGACAGACCTCCCGCCTATGGATGAATGGGACATGGAAAATGAAGCAGGTAAGCTTCAAAATCTGTTGGTATGAACATGCGACATCGCGATGCCTAGGGCCACCACACGTCCTCGTCGGGCGTGTGCCATGGTGGAACGATGAGCTAGAGAACCTTCTCGAAGACGCGACGCGCGCGAGACGAGCTCTCAAAAGGGCGCATAGAGCGAGGCGCGATCATGAAGAACTAGAGGCCAAGGTCTGCGAGCTTCGACAGGCAAGGAGAACTCTCCGCAATGCCATTGCTAAGGCCAAAGCCAAAGCGTGGGAAGACTTCGTGCTCACTCTCAACGAGAATCCATGGGGGAGACCTTATAAACTCGTACGTGACAAACTACGAAGATGGTCGCCCCCCCACTACGGAGTCTATGGAGACTCCGCTTTTGGAGGAAACTCTGGAGGTACTTTTCCCCTTGCCGGAGGAGAAACAGCCGACTGGAGGGAACCTCCTCTCCCTCAGAGTGGCTGGACGGCATGGCGGGAGGATTTTGAGGTTTCCACTGAGGAAATACTAATGGTCTCAAAGAGGTATGACAGCGCATAAGGCTGCACCGGGCCCAAGCGGGGTGCCTGCGCAAGCCTGGGACGTCGCGGTCCATACCATAGGTGGACGCATGAGAAATCTGTTCACAGAGTGCCTGAAGCGAGGTGAATTTCCATCGATTTGGAAGAAGGCGCACATGGTGCTGATTAAGAAGACCGGCAGATCGGATGACAGACCGGCCGCATATCGGCCCATATGTCTTCTCGATGACGAGGCAAAAATGTTCGAAAGAATAATTGCGAACAGAATTGTCGAGCATTTGGAGAAGAGAGGCCCAGACCTCCATGCCGAGCAATACGGGTTTCGGCGAGGAAGGAGCACCATTGACGCCATCCTATAGGTGCGACAGTTTACAGACGACGCGGTGCAGGAGGGTGACGTCGCGATCGGCATATCCCTAGATATCCGTAACGCGTTTAATGCCATCCCCTGGAACACGATTTGCAAGGCACTCTGGACGCACCGAGTGCCGTTCTATCTGCGAAGGGTAATACGATTGTACCTGAGCGATCGTACTCTCTCGTACCCGGTAAGGGATGGAGATACTGAAGTGAGAAGCGTCGAATAAAGGGTCCCGCAAGGATCCGTCCTTGGATCCCTGCTGTGGAACATAGGTTATGACTCAGTGCTGGATTAGGACGAGCTTCCCTCCGACTGCCGAACGGTGTGCTACGCTGATGACACGATTGTCTTGGCAGCGGGGGAGGACTGGGAGGAGGCCGTCCTCAAGGTCAACGAGGCCGTACGAGTTGTAATCCAGGAAATAACAAGCCTGGGACTCCAAGTGGCGTCGACAAAAACGGAGGCCATCGGTTTCCACGGCAGGGGTCGATTTCTTCAAAAAACGGAAGTCATAGTCGCTGATACGCGCTTGACAGTAGGGCCACACCTCAGATATCTAGGATTGATTATAGATAGCAGATGGAGATTCGTGGCGCACTTCTCCGCCACCGCAACGAGAATGGAGAGAGCCAGTTCGGAACTTTCCAGACTACTACCTAACCTCGGAGGACCCGGTGACAGAGTCAGAAGGCTGTTCACTACGGTCGTGAACTCCATAGCGCTATACGGCGCCCCTATATGGGCGGAACAAGCAAGGGAGAACCGTGCAATACTGGCCATATTACACAAGGCTCAACGAAAGATGGCGGGCAGAATAACCAAGTCCTACAGGACTACGTCCTTCGCGACGAACACCGCGTTAGCGGGTGTGCCCCCTATGGAATTACTAACGGGATGTACGCCGAGGTACATGAGGAGATCTCTGCATTCAGAGACACTCGTGGACACGCGACTGTGCCCCCACAGGTAATCGGGGTTGTCAAACATAGGGCTCGAATCAAAATGATGAACTGGTGGAAGGAATGGTTATCCTCCGCCGCCGGAAGTAACGAGATAACCCGCGCAATCCGACCGCACTTGGATAAATGGTCGGGTTTGAGGGTCGGTTTCTCCTTCCATGCGACGCAGGTGCTGAGTGGCCATGGCTATTTCGGCCGATACCTGCGCCGCATTGGCAAGGAGAATACCGAAAGATGTTGGCAATGCGGCGCCCCCTCTGATACCGCGCGGCACACGCTGAATGACTGCCCTGCGTGGAATCGCCAGAGGGAGGACCTGAAAAGTGCTATCGGTCAGGACCTGGCAATGCCAGCAATAGTGCGGGCGCTGTTGACCAAGGACGGTCGGCGCGCCTTTCTCTCCTTCTGCAGAACCGTTATGCTGCAGAAGGAGAGGGACAAACGTGCCAGAGAAAGGCACGTAAACGACGAGAGGGGAGCTGAGGACGAGAGAAGCTAGTCTCCTTACCCGCCCTCTCCACCCTTAATGCGGGTGTTAGCGCGTTGCTCCGCTTCACGGAGCGGCGCGCGGGCTGTCCGCAGCATGGCGGACACGACCACAAGCATGGCCGCCCGCGGTCTTACGCGGCGGTCACCCGAAGGGTCGTGAGGCGGCGAACGGGCGATTCGCCGCCTCCTTTCAGCGACCGAACGGGATGTATGGCAAGGGGAGGTGGCATCCCCCCTTGCCAATAATTACGGCTAGGTATGCGCAGCATGGCACATCTGGCGTTGGGTCAGGTCGATTGTACTGCAGCCGCGAAGAGCCCGACCTGACCCAAACATCGCCTGGGCATGAACGCTCGCAGTGATTTCAGTGGGTAAGTCTCCGTCGCTGGCTTCTAGTCCCACATAACCCTGCCCCTTCCCCGGGGGGCGGGGTATGCATGAGCATTTCCACTGCGATTAAAAAAAAAAAGGCTAGCACAACTCAAATATGTAATATCATTCACATCGAAGCATTATGAACTTGAATTTTGGACAAAAAATGCTTACGCGAGTGTTACATCCTGGTAGATCTCTCTCTCCTATAATATTATAAATATGTGTTATCTTAGGCTATTCCTAGTTAATGTTCATTTCATTTTCACTTTGGTATTTTATCTTTATTTCGAAACTTTACCTTTATTTCTTTATCATTGAATGGCAT